ATCCTGCCTCAGCTGGGCTCCTTCACTGTCAGCCAGCCTAAAGGGGCTCTATTATAAGCCTTTCCTTCCTCCTCCGCACTGTAGCACTGATTTGGACGCTCAGCTAGCCTCACCTGAGCACAGCGCGCCAGCCGGGCATCAACTGAGCCCTTCCTAAGCCAGCCAGGGTGGGCAATATGACGATATTTATCATTATCATGATAAATTCTGCCAAAAAATGCCTTTCTGAGCATATCATGGATATCGTCAGTACTTCTGGATTACAAAACGGAGCTTGTTTAATTGGATCCAGTGCAGCACAATGTATAAAACATGCTCCAACTTCTGACACTGAAATATCGGGATGCACACTGTGTATATTGTGCATATTGTTCAAGTATCGTGTGCAAAGAAAAACCACTGATAACTTTACAGAAGAGGGAAAAAAAACATACTTTACTTTCAACATAAGTGATTTTGGAGCATTTCTATTGGCCCATTCACATAATGTGAAGGACAGCTGTGGCGCTCAAATGATGTAGAAGAGTAGAAACAGAAAAAATGAAGATAAATATTTTTCTTTGGACGGTGACGATAATTTTGCTTTCCAAAGTAGACGTTATTAAAAGATCTCAAATACACATCGACCAATCAGTGCAGAATTATGAAAGCACAACTTACACACTTAATAAAACAAGTCAGTCTAAAAAATTCAGTTATAAACATACTTACTACTATTTTAGAAGAGAGAATTAATAATTCCAGAAAAGTCAGAGGACATTTTGAGTTGTTTCGTCTGTCCGTAGTTCTCAGTCTTTTCAATTCACATATTATCTGTTTAAAAACAGCTTCTGCAGGGATTTCAGTCTGTTTGATCACTACTTTACTTGTTTTAGATATTTTGCAATTAGTAACGCATAAAATTAACCAATAAACATTTAACAACTGGCAATATTTTTACCACAGCGTCCAATCTTACGTCCTGAACCTGGTGCCGAACATATCAGAACTCATCGCCCACTCTAATGTCCTGAACCTATTGCAGAACATATCAGAACACGTTGTACACCCTTATGTCCTGGACCTATTATAGAACATATCAGAACTCATCGTCCACTCCTACATCCTGAACCCGGAGCAGAACATATCTGAACACATCGCCCACCGTAATGTTCTGAACCTATTACAGAACATATCAGAACACATCGCCCACCGTAATGTTCTGAACCTATTACAGAACATATCAGAACTCATCGTCCACTCTAATGTTCTGAACCTATTACAGAACATGTCAGAACTCATCGTCCACTCTAATGTTCTGAACCTATTACAGAACATGTCAGAACTCATCGTCCACTCTAATGTCCTGAACCTATTACAGAACATATCAGAACTCATCGTCCACTCTAATGTCCTGAACCTATTACAGAACATGTCAGAACTCATCGTCCACTCTAATGTCCTGAACCTATTACAGAACATATCAGAACTCATCGTCCACTCTAATGTCCTGAACCTATTACAGAACATGTCAGAACTCATCGTCCACTCTAATGTCCTGAACCTATTGCAGAACATATCAGAACACATTGTACACCCTTATGTCCTGGACCTATTATAGAACATATCAGAACTCATCGTCCACTCCTACATCCTGAACCCGGAGCAGAACATATCTGAACACATCGCCCACCGTCATGTTCTGAACCTATTACAGAACATGGAACTCATCGTCCACTCTAATGTCCTGAACCTATTACAGAACATATCAGAACTCATCGTCCACTCTAATGTTCTGAACCTATTACAGAACATGTCAGAACTCATCGTCCACTCCTACATCCTGAACCCGGAGCAGAACATATCTGAACACATCGCCCACCGTCATGTTCTGAACCTATTACAGAACATGGAACTCATCGTCCACTCTAATGTCCTGAACCTATTACAGAACATATCAGAACTCATCGTCCACTCTAATGTCCTGAACCTATTACAGAACATATCAGAACTCATCGTCCACTCTAATGTCCTGAACCTATTACAGAACATATCAGAACTCATCGTCCACTCTAATGTCCTGAACCTATTACAGAACATATCAGAACTCATCGTCCACTCTAATGTCCTGAACCTATTACAGAACATATCAGAACACATCGCCCACCGTAATGTTCTGAACCTATTACAGAACATGGAACTCATCGTCCACTCTAATGTCCTGAACCTATTACAGAACATATCAGAACTCATCGTCCACTCTAATGTCCTGAACCTATTACAGAACATATCAGAACACATCGTCCACTCTAATGTTCTGAACCTATTACAGAACATATCAGAACACATCGTCCACTCTAATGTTCTGAACCTATTACAGAACATATCAGAACACATCGTCCACTCTAATGTTCTGAACCTATTACAGAACATATCAGAACACATCGCACACCGTAATGTTCTGAACCTATTATAGAACATATCAGAACTCATCGTCCACTCTAATGTTCTGAACCTATTACAGAACATATCAGAACACATCGCCCACCGTAATGTTCTGAACCTATTACAGAACATATCAGAACTCATCGTCCACTCTAATGTTCTGAACCTATTACAGAACATATCAGAACACATCGCCCACCGTAATGTTCTGAACCTATTACAGAACATATCAGAACACATTGTACACCCTTATGTCCTGAGCCCGGAGCAGAACATGTCAGAACTCATCGTCCACTCTAATGTCCTGAACCTATTACAGAACATATCAGAACACAACGTCCACTCTAATGTCCTGAAACTATAACAGAACACATTGTCCACCCTTATATCCTAAACCCAGAACAGAACATCTTAACACATCGTCCACTCTTACGTCCTGAACCTGCCGCAGAACATATCAGAGCACATTACCCACCTTTACGTCCTGAATACAGAACAGAACATAAACACATCGTCCACCCCTACATCCCGAACCCGGCGCAGAACAGATGTGAACATCATACGGCACAGAAACACCAACACAGACATAAACGGTGGATTAAATGTGAGGCTTGTTCAGTAAAGTGAGCCGTTTGTGTGAATTAAAGACTGAAAGGCTTAAACAATAGAAAAGAGTCATCAGTCAAGAGTGGGAACAAGTGAAGAGCAGCACGGCAAACACAGAGAGAACGTGACAGAACGTCTTCATCTACGACCTTAAAGTATGGTTCAAGGGTTCTTTAATGAATGAGACGGTTAGCTGTTCCGTACACACAAACGAAATACACACAAACAGAGCTTTGGCTGTGTGGGGTTCTTTAAAAAACAATAAAGCACCAAAACGGGGTCATACACTCAAGGGTTCTTTAGTAAAGACAACTGCTCTATTTAGAACCATGGGTTCTATATTTGTAGCATGATAAAATGGTTCTTAGAGAATGTGTACATGGTTCTACATAAAATCTTTCAGAACATGGCGCTATATAGCACCAAAAATAGTTCTTTTATTGTCTATTGTTATAATGCCAGGCTCATGACAACAGAAGAACCCTTTGGGTGCTACGTAGAACTATGTACAACATAATCTGAAGAACCATTTAATCATGCAAATAACCATTTGAGCATGCAATGGTTCTACATAAAATCATGAGTTCTATATTTGTTGCATGGTGAATTGGTGCTTGAAGAATTTGTATGTGGTTCTACATACAACCCTTCTGAATTTGGTTCTATACTGCACTAAAAAGGGTTCTTCCATTGTTACAATGTCATGCTTGTAAGAACAGAAGAACCCTTTTGGTGCTATACAGAACCATACACAACACATTCTCTATCAATCTGAAGAACAATTTAACAGAGCAAACAACCATTTAAGCACACAATGGTTCTATACAGAACTCATGGTTCTAAACAGAACGTTCCCTTTACTAAAGAACCCTTGAAGAACAAGCATTTTTTTGTGTATAGAACAAAAATGCATAAACAGCTCTTTGGTTATACAGAACATTTTCTTCTTTGTTAATAGTTCTATCTAGCACCAAAAGGGGGTCATACTCTCTTAAACCGGTTCTTGTTAGGACCAAGTACATGCGTATATGGTTCTTCAGATTCTTCAGTGTTTATATGGTTCTACTCAGAACCTTTTTGAATTTGGTTCTGTATAGCACCAAACAGGGTTCTTCTTGCCACAATGTCAAGCTTGTATGCAGTAAAAGAACCCTTGCTGGTGCTATATAGAACCATTTTCAAACACAACACATTCTCCATCAATCTGAAGATCCACTTCACCATGCAAAGAACCATTTTCAAGCATGAAATGGTTCTAAGAACTCATGGTTCTAAATAGAAACTGCGTTACCATCTTTTCTTAAGTGTTTTATAACAAAAATGCCTAAACAGCTCTTTGCTTGTATAGAACATTTTATCTTACTTTAACGGTTCTGAACAGCACCAAATGGGCATCATAGAACCTTTCTTGGAACCTCTTTTGCTAAGAGTGCTCCAAGAGCGCACACAGACCCTCAGAACTCGGAACCAAACATAACAGGGAACAAAAAAGTTGCACAAAAATGTTAAAACTAAAAGCAGAGCCGTCCAAAATGACAGATGAGCCAAAACAATCAACTAAACCCACACGGAAAAGCCTGCCAGCTACTCGGAATGGAAGCTTCTTGTTTGAATTTTCCCGTTCCACCTTAAATGGAGCAGCAGTTAGATTCTGATACCAGAGGCGCCTGAATGTAACTGCTGCACCATTTAAGGTGGAACGGGAAAATAGGAACAACAAGCTGGCGAAGCCAACGCGCCAATTCCGAAGCTCCTGACAGGATTAAAAAAAATGTAAAGCATGAAACTTCGTATAAACGAGTATTTAATCATCGAATCTACTTTGAAATAAAGAAAATAAGGTCAGGTCCAAACTTTGGGACTGGAAAAGGACAGAGAGACGGAGGAGAGGCAGCGGCAGAGTTTCCGTTAGGAGAAGAGTGACCGTTAAAACCGACTGAGGTAAAACTGAGGTAAAAATCACACCGTACCTTCCTCAGCGTAGCACTCCTTAATCCGGTTCAGCAGTAATATCCAAAGCACCGAAACTGTGGTCCTAAGCAGCTCCATGTTCGACTGGACCCGGTTTCGGAGCTCTGGTCATGTCGCTAGCACTTCACTCGCTCTCTCCCTCACACACATTCACACACCGCCGCGCTGGAGAGCCGTCCGGGCTAGTAGTGACATGAAGCTGCGCGGCGCACCTTATTTGGCATCTCGGGGGCGGAACTTAATGATGATCGACGCGCTCAGCGTCCAATGAGATTCGAGAGTGCGCTAAGGGTATTAGAAGGTCGCCAATCGCGTCGCGCCGAATCGTGACGCGGCAGCCGCCAGCCTTTGACAGCGAACACGACGGTTATCTTATTTGGCCTTTTTTGACCCTTCGGAGATTCCAGGTAATGAAAAATAAACACATATTTGTAGTTTTTGGTTGATTTCTGTTTAATATAAGCGCCATACTGTTACTTAAGATCTGTAAGTGTTGTAGAAATACTCTTATTTCATTGTTAAGGGTTACATTACTGAAGAAAATAGTTCTACATAGAACCATTTCGTGCGAAATGGTTCTTCATACTGATGGAGAATGTGTATATGGTTCTATATAGTACCTTTTTGAAGATGGTTTAATACAGCACCAAAAAGAGTTCTGCTATTATGACGTTGTACACTCTTGAAAATGATGGTGCTTCAAAGGTTCTTTAGTAAAGAAAATGGTTCTTTATAGAAAGCGTTCTTCAAATTGATGGAAAATGTGCACGAATGTGCTATAGACGGTTCTATATAGAACCTTTTTGAGAAGAGTTCTTTATAGCACCCAAAGGGATTCTTCTATTGTTACAAGCTGAACAGCTTAACAATAAAAGAACCCCTTTGGGTGCTGTATAGAACCCTTTTCAAAAAGGTTCTATGTAGAACCATCTACAGCACATTCTCCATCAGTCTGAAGACCCATTTAATCATGCAGAGGGTTCTTTGAGTGTTCATGGTTCAATATAGAACCACTTTTCTTTACTAAAGAACCCATAAGCACCATATTTTTAGGAGTGTATACAATAAAAGAACCATTTTGGTGCTATATAAAATGGTATAGAACACATTCTGAAGAACCCTTGAAGAACCATCTTTTTTAAATGTGTATGGAACAAAAATGCCTGAACAGCTCTTTACTAGTATAGAACTTGGCTTGTAGGGGTTACATTATTGAAGAAAACTGTCCAATCAGGATTGTTCTCTCTGTGGTATTTCAGCAGATTCAGCCAAGCAAGCTCTCCCGTTGGTTAGGACTTCAGGAGCTGGACTGAAGGCCCTACACCAGAGGTCTTTAAACCGTGGGGTGCAGAGGAATTGCGGAGGGCGGCGTGAGAGAGTTGAGATAGAAAATTGCAAAAAAGTTATTATTTAAACAACTTTATTTTACTTTGTTAGTCAATTGATAATAGACAATAAAAATCCTGGAAGAAGAAAAGGAACGTGTGACTAATTCGCTGTGTATTTGAAGGTGCATCACTGCATCATCACCACAGTTGTTTTCTTTTTTTGCGGCTGGTGTCTTTTATGCTTGTCTTAGGAAAGTCCGCTCTTGCTGACTTGCACTTTTATGGTCATTAAAGACTGAAGATGGTTTAAAGAAGATACTTCAGTTTAAAATTGAGATTAAAAAAGGGGTGAAATTAGACACCAACTCAGCGCTCATCATGTGACATTCAGACCCACCGCTTGTGTGAGTGCCTTTCATAAAAGTCATCAAAGCTGTGATGATGGGGTTATTTTAGTCCAGTATGGATCTTTTTGACAGAACTATTTAGGGCAGAGTGAATGAGTGAGTGAGAGAAGTGCACTGTTAGAAATGAAGGTTCTGTTTGGTACATTTTTCATTCATCAAGGTACAAACAGTGTAAATGTTCCCTCAAAGCTCCAACAGTGGTTTTAAGGTCTGATTGTGAACCTTAAATAAGTTTGTCCAGGTGAAAAGTTCGTATTTGTACCTTTTCATAACCGAATGTTTTAAACAGAACAGTAAAATAAAAGCCTGGAGACGAGACGGGGTGTGTGGAGTCAGTACAGCTTAGAACATATCATTTCAGTGGATTATGGTTCAGTTATGTTCCCTGACTAAAGGTACTGAGACGGACCCTTGAGGGAACCACCCCAGTGATGAGAGGGGGACTGACCCAGTGACAGTTTCATACCTTTATTTCTGAGAGTGTATGTGTGAAAATATTTAAACAAACTGTAGAAATGTCAGAATAATGTACATTTTGGATTGTATTTATAATTATTGATTGCATATTGTAAAAAAACAGTGGTGAATTATGACTGTAAGAGCTAAGCGCTCGGTTTGGGCCATAAATGTCAAAAATGAGGAAAACAATACCCCTAAATAATCCTACTTTTTAAATCGCTTTTCATAGATGAGGAAGGCCCTCAGGACAACTTGTGAAGCGCCTTACTTCCATGTTTTGAAACGACTGTCAGGCTAACTGGACGTGTCGTTCTTTGGTGACTGACACTGTATGAATAGACCATGTTGTTCAGACAAAGCTACGATTTATATACTCACACTGTACGAAACGCTCCGTCTGACTGACCTGCTACGGGAAACGCAGCCTCTACAGACGCTCTGTCTACAGACCGTTATCAATAAAGCTGATTCACTCAGAATAACACGAGTACTGAGCAACACGCTGAGACACTGAGCAGCGCTGCTAACACTGAGCACTGAAGCTAAAAGCAGGCGGTGATGTTCACGGTAGGACAGTTCGGTCTCTCTACAGACTATCACCCATGTTAACGTTTATATCTTGCTATTTTATTTAGTCAGAGTAAAATCACATTGATGGACTTTAGCAAATGTTGACCTTTTCGCCTCCATTGTGTTGGCCTACGTGTCTCCACCCGTATTGTAAAACTGTGTTCCTGATGCAAATCTGCCAAGGCGGAATGTTTAAAGTGACCGATGGCTTTATGTCTGACTGTGACAGAGTCAGTGACTCTTCTCTGTGTGAGCAGATCTTCCTTCACTGTGTTTGTTCAGTAGCGCGGCAGCTACAATCGGCTTATGTCACATGGTATCAGATGTTGTTGTCGGTGCATTTTTATGAGATCGAGTACGAGTAGATGAGCACCGTATTGGACTGATACTCAATACCAGTATTGGTATTGATGCATTCCTAGTTTTGTTGATTTTCTAAGTTAGAGAAATCAACACATCCTCTACAGAGAACACACTTCTGCAAATTTTAATACACACTGTATTTTTGCTGAATTTAACATATTGGGATGGGGGGCGTAAAATGTGGCCTGTGCAAAAGTTATGGCGCTGTTATGTTTTGGGGTTTTTTTGTACATTAAACTCAGCAAATGAAAAGAAATTGTGCACTAAAATTTGCAGAAAAAGTTTGTTCCCTTTTATCAAGGCTTAGTCTCACATTTGTCTGACCTGTTTATACGATTTAAGAGTCCTCCTGTAGGTGCAGTAGAGATCTGGAACAGAGACTTGCCCACATATAATACATTGGGACGTGGTGTGGCGTAACATTTTTACATCTTCTAAGAATTCGTCTCATCAGTTAATTCACTTTAAATTAGCTCACAGGATTTATGTCGCTCCTTGCCGTGCTTTTTAATGAAGCTTTCGAATGACAAAAACTGTAACAGGTGTCAGTTGGGTTTGTTGGAGATTATGTTCATATGTTTTGGTCGTGGTCAGTTGTGAGGACTGTATGGATGTATGTCACACAAATCTTGTCTGGCTGTTTATCTGTCAACACTCCTCCGTTGTACTTTTGCTTTTTGATGATTCTAATTGGATGCTTAGTGTACAACAAAGAAAGGTTATGATGGCAGCTTTAACTGCGGCCAAGAAATCAGTCTTGAAAGGCTGGTTTGAGCCTAATCTTTCTTTATCTCAGTTATGGTGTAGATATTTTTTGGACATTCTTATCCTGGAGCAACCGATTGCCAAGGCAGCAACAATTCATTTTTGGACTGATGCCATTAACTACGTTAAGACTCTGTAAACACTAACATCTTGTGTATGTTGAATACTTTTATACAGTGTCTATTTCATTACTTATGTATATAATTTTTCTTTGTTAACCCCCCAGGCCTTTTCCTTTGTAATTAGTATGTAGAGAATGTTGATTGTATGCTAACTATGAAAAATCAATAATAATTCTCTAAACCTCATCTTAACATCAGGAACAAACAAAAACGGTTTTGCTCTTTTAAAGGTTTTGAGAAATGAAACATGGAGCTTTTATAAAAAGCACTCTGAAGTCACAGTCAGGCGTTCTGTTGCTCCTGTAGGTTAGCCCTGTTTTTCTACCGGGGTTTAATACAAAGTCATTTTTCCGTCCTGTAACACACACACACTTGTTTCAGTGCGCTGGATGAGATTACACATCTGTGCCTAAAGCCCATAAAGCCCACCTCCAGGCCGCAGAGTGTCCGTTTCCACTGAGCTTTGCTCTAATACTTATTGCCGCATTACAATTTCATGCTAGGCTGCCTGGCGTCGTTTTTCTATCTGTGCTCCTTAAATACAGAAAAAACGACGGTGGTGGAAAAAAACACCCACATTCACAGCCACAACCTTTTTGTTGTGAGCTTGATTTCACAGCTTTGTTTGAGTGGAAAGATACGAGTGAAGAAGGAGGGAGTAGAAAGATCACTGTAGAAGATGCTAATAGGACAAAGGCCCGCTGTGGTGACCGTGGTGGCCCCCCCTGCAAACTAAATTCTGCTATCTGAACTGTGCTTTGCCCAAATGCCCCCTCCAGTGGCTAACATTTGGAAGCAGCTGACGTAAGTGACCTAGCATTTAATATTGTAGCGTTGGTGTAGAAGAAGACGTGGAAAACATTGCGAATATGGGCGAATGCTCTTTTATTGAACAGGCACTTTAACAAACAGCAAGGAATGCCCAGCCCAGTGCTAGTCCCAACACGAAACACATGGAGGAGGTAGTGCAGGGAACACCACATATGAGGAGGGTAGACACTTCTTTTTTTAAAATATTTTAATAAGCATTTTCAGTACAAAAACAGACAATCCAAGAAACAAACAGACATACACAAAAATGCACAGTTAATTAAAATAGATTTAATTAGACAAGGTCAAGGGTAGACATTTCTAATCACTAATTACCTTTCAA